GGGGCAAGGAATCCAAAGCGAGAGTGACCTGGGTTTAAATATTAGCCCTGCTAGTTGGTAGTGATCCTGGGAAATGTATTTCATTTCCCTTTTTTTCTCCATTTCCACATTTTTTAATGGGCGTAATCCTTGTGGAGATAAAATACAGCGATGTTTACAAAGCTTTTAGAACAGTGTTTGGCTTGTCTGTTCGTGATCAGTTACGTTTGTTCCTCTCTCTCTCTTCTAGGAAGTCCACAAGATGAGAGGTGGTTCTCAGCCCTGCGGTCCTGACTATGTAATGCTGAGAATACAGGGGACATTCAAACAGCCCCTGAAAACGAAGAGGTAAATGCAGAGGAAGAACTGCCCAGACCTTTTTACCCTTTCTTTCTTAGCTCCAGTACCTGGGAAGATGGGTAGCTGAGTATCTCATCTTGGCACAGACCCTAACGTGGTGTGACTCAGTCGCTAGCAACGCCTTGCGTTGCTGGGGGACTCACTTCATACCTGAGAGTCTCCCACTGTTTCCTTTTTCAGTATCAATTTCTTCAGTTGGTTGGCTCCATTCCATGGCTCACTGTTACGAGTGCCTACCCAATGGAAGTGCAGCTGTAACACTTTAGAAAGAAATGCATGGTAGAATTCTTGCCTTTAAGGGAACTCACCAGATACTGAAACCAAAAGTCTACGGGAAAGATGGTGGGGAGTGATTTTTTTTTTAAGCCACAGAGGAGGCATTTGTGATCACAACTACAGCTTCTTCTGGGCATACAGCTGGGCTCTGCATCCTTCGAAAGTTAGATGATGTCTCAGCCTTTGTGCGCTCTTGGTTCAGGGTCACTGCCAAGAGCCCGTATGGTTGGAGGCAGAGGAGATGCTGGAATTTCAAAGGAATTACTGTCTTTGTGAGAGAGGAGAGCTCAACCTAAGGCCTTGGGGGACAGAGCCAAACCCCAGTGGGGTCACTTGGTCACAAGACCGTCCTCCCGTGTAGATGGTATCAGGGCCCAGATAAGTGTGCTTTGCAATTACATTCCTCAGATGTGAGTCTTTGGTTGAGACATGACGGTTTTTGGCAACGTTCCTTGGGAATTGAACTGTCTTAATTCTGACTCAGAGGGTTGGGGCTGGCAGGGCACAGGGGGAAGGGGAGCCTTGGACTAGGAGAAAATCTCTGTCACCTGTGTTTGCCTTCACCCAGTTACCTGCCTCTTGTCTGGAAGTGATGAATCGCCCATGAGTTCAACAGTGTGGATTTCACTCACTGTCGCTGGGCCCCTCCAGTGGGGAGCATGGGCAGAGGAAGTGTGAAGGATCGGTCCATTTTTGCAAAGCTCTTTTACCTTCTTTGTGCCAAGTAGAAGAGGCAGTATCTTCACAAACATCCCCTAGACTCACAGCCTGCCCGGGTCCTTTATCGTTGGCTGATTCCTTCCTGCCAGTGAGCTGATGGCTGTCACCAGTGGTTACCAACCATGCGAAGGACTCAAGGCTCAGGCAGAGGTCCAGACTCATAGTCATGGAAGTTAGAGCTGGAAGGCTTCTGGGAAATAAGTAGGTCCACTCAACACGCTCATCTTACAGATCCAGAAACTAGGGGACCGGGACTGAAATCGGATCCTGCACGTCTCCCCTTATTAGAATGGACAGCCGTGCGTGTGGCGTTCTCCTGTTTGCCCGCCTCCCTCCTGCCCCACCTGTTCTCTGCCTCAGGAGACCCACCTGTATGAACTGCATCAAAACCTTCTTCCCCTCTGGCTTCCAGGTGGCCCTGGACAACGGTGAGTTCTGGTGGAAGATGGGAGAGAGGGAGGGGAGGGGAGCTGGGCTATTTCCCGCACCCTGACCCACAGTTCTGTCCTCCTATGTGTTCACCGGCCAATGTTCTTTCAAGGACAGCAGCTGCGCCCCCGGGGATGGTACTGTCCCTCACGACTTCCCTGCACCTGCCCACACCTTGCAGGACGATCCTTTTACTATCTCGCCTCCAATTACCTCACTTGAATGCGTCCTGCATTTCCTGCCGAGACCCTGACTAACACAGTAACTGAAAGTTAAAGGGAAGAATTTAAATAGTGTGGTGGAACTTAGTGAACCCTTTCCTTTCACGTTCCTTAAGAGTAAGCGAAGCTTTGGAGAATTTGGGAAGTAGAGGGGCGGGACATGACACTGAGCCAACCACAGGCTCTAGGAAAAAGCGATCCACTTCCTTCTGTTTTTCCTTTTATTATTGTTGTCATTTTTATTGTTACAGTTATGCAGGTGGCAATGAATTGCCTACATTGTGATTATCAACAAATCAAACAATACGAGCGTGTATAGGTTGAATAATTCAATGTCTCCTTATGCCACCTCCATTTTACTCTTTCACCTACTACCTGGTGCACTTTTTTCTAGTCTTTCTAGATATTTTTGTATACGCACATGTACAGATCCACACAAATATGGATCTTATAAAACATAAATTTGGCCCATAGTATATGCATTGTTCTGCCAGTCTCCCTGTCAGTATTCAGGGATACCTCATTCCTTTTTAACCGCTGCGTAATAGTCCATACCCTGGATATAAATAAGCCATTTAACCATTTTGTGGGTGGGTAGGGTTTTTTTTGTCGTTTTTCACTGTTACACAAAACATTGCAATGAGCATTCTCATGCCTACTCACACACACATATGCATCCCAAAGTAGGTATTTCCTTGACATAGAGAGCTAAATGTAGAATTCGGTTAAATAATGTAATTTCAATCTGGTAGATCTGCCCAATGGACGTCCATGAAGGCCACGTCAGTAGTTCGTGAGAGTACATTTCCCTCACCCTCTCCCCAACTCCGCGTAGGATCAACCTGCTTTAATTTTGCCCATCAGATGGAAGAATACAGAAACGCTTTTTAAAATGTTGGTTTCTGTGATTACCACGAGGCCGAGCATCTTTTACTGCCTTTTGACACTTGGGTATCTTCTGCAAATTTCCTGTTCCCTTTTCTGCTGTTACTGTCTTTCTCCAGGGTGGCTGTCTTGGACCCTGTTATCTTCAGATACAGAGATAAGTAAACAGAGTCTGCAGAACGTGGGCTACTCTTTGAAGTTATCTCTAAGTTCAAAGCATATGATTTAGCCAGAGATTTTCAGTGAGTCGCCAAGGAGAACCAAGATTAAGAAACAAAAGAGGAAGATCCAAATCTTAAAACATGTGGATTACGCATCCCCTCATATCGACTTATAAAATTTTATATTCCACTTGATATATTTAAATACAGATTATCTCTATCTGTCTGTCTACCTACTTTTGAATTTTCCCTCACGTCTCTGCCACGTGCTTGGAGCACTGCTGCCCCTGAAGGCATTAGGCACGTGTCCTCAAGGACCTGTTGGGGGGCGGTTATTGCCGAGGGTTGAAGAATATTCTGTTCAAGTTCTGTATATCGTACTGAGACCCCGAGAGGAAAACTGACCTGCCTGCAAGACCGCTACCAACCAACGATAAAGCTACAGTTTGCCCCTAGGTCTTCTGATTCTCAAGTCTGTGGCCTTTCCGTGACACTGACTCAGTTTCCTCCGTGTAATTCAGTCCGACTCAAGAGACATTGCTGGGCACACCAGTAGCCTCTGAAGTGCGTGGTGATTTGGAGGTGAATGTTCTACCCGCCCGCGACAGGCTGTCACTTGAAGGCAGAGCTTTGTGTTTTCCCATGGGAGGGTGGCCACGCCTCCAAAATGGCTTTCCAGCCTCTCGTGAGTGAGACCGTGATGGCTGGTCTTCTGTGTCACCTTGGCCAGGCTCTCATACCTCATATTTAATCAAACACTAATCTAGGTGTTGCTGTGTAGATATTCTACAGATGCGGTTAACACTGACCATCAACTGACCTTAAGTAAAGGAGATCACTCTTGAGAGTGGGGGTGGGCCCCGACTCAATCAGTCAAAGGCCTTCAGAGCAAAAGCTGAGGTTTCTCAGAGAAGAAATTCTGTCTCAGCTCTCAGCTGTTGCATCAACTCTAGCCCGAGTTTCCAGCCTGTTTGCCCTACGGATTTTAGACTTGCCAGCCTTGACTACAGTTGCATGAGACAATTCCTCAAAACAAATCTCTTAATACCTGTCTGTCTGTCTGTCTGCCTATCTATCTATCTATCTACCTATCTATCTATCTGTTCTCTGTCAATATAGATGCATCTCCTGTTGTTCCTGTTTTTCTGGAGAACACTGACTGATTCAGAGATTTACTCTGTTGCCTGTATTTAAATTTTAAGCACCGGAGGCTGGAAGACCCAGAGGCTGTTGAGGCTGCAGAAAGGAGCCCACGAGGCCAGTCTGGACCACGTTCTGCCTGCTGCTTCCAGAAACACCTCCCGCCCCCGTTGCTATGCTCCGCTGTAGCCAACTGCTAGCGTTCCTAGCTGGCTGGTCCCTGGTCCTCCTTGGTCAGCAAAAGGGCTCTCCTCCTCTCCTTTCTGGTGTCAACGAATGTCATCCTCCTGATGAGTCAGTTTCACCATTTTGCAATCCTTGTCATGCACAGGAAAGCCTGCCTCCGCAGCCCGCCACCTATGACTTCTTCCAAGTCATTGGCCCCAGGAGTCTGGCCAGCTGTTTCGACTGGGTCAACTGCTGGTGTTCTCCACGGGTGACAGCTTCTCCTCGAAGGTGCTTTGGAAGGTGAGCTCAACAGAGGTTGAATGTCAGGTTACATGCGAGGACGCGGGGGGCAGCCACTCCCCATCCTCACTCCCCTCCCTGAACCCTCAGAACAGGCCTGCCTGCTTCTGATTGCAACAAAAGGAGACAGGAGGAAAAAAAAAAGTGTCTTGGAAGAGATTTGCTGCATTAAAAAAAAAAGTAATAAAAAGAAAGCCTCTAAGGCCATGTAGCTTTGGGGTAAGGAAGAGGTGGAGACCTCGCCGGAGTAGGCCTCCGAAGCTTCCTGTTTTCAGGCAAGCAGGAAGCACAGTGCAAACATCCTTCTTCATTTATGGTCTTTGTTCTTGCTCAGCCAGTGTGCTGTTCCACAGGGTGGCCTTTCCGACGCATGCTCCCGTCTGCATTATCTACTTCAGATCAAAAGAGAAAATGCATGAGAATGCGCTCGGAAGGCCTGGTTACCGCGCACATGCCAGTTACAATCATAATCATAAATGCCTGGGCTGGGACCTCTTGGGGAATCTAGGGTTGTGTCTCTTTCCCTGAGCTCGGTCTCCTCCCTTGAGCTCAGATCAGCCAACACTTACTGCAGGTTAACGTGCCGGGCCCTGCGGTGAGGCCTGGGAGGTGCTCCTTCCCCAGCAGGACCCTGAATAAACCAAGTCAGAGAACGCGGCCCTCCATTTCTCCTGGACAGCGCGCAGTGATCGGAGAATTCATTTATTCGGCCCCTTTGGCATCCCCTTTGCAAATTCTGTTTTGAGAAGTAGTTCTTGCCTTCTCTCCTCTCTCCCCTAAGATCTACAAAATCCACAAACCTGCCTCCTCGTTTGCCCAAGACAGTCCTGGTTTACACCGGGTTTCCCAGCATCGTTACTGATACCATGTTTCCATTCCCAAGAGTGTTCCAGTCTGGACAGTAAGTCCTAGGGTTTCTTTATCTACAGTCCTTCTGGGCAACCATGAGGAAGTCAACGGCCTTTTCTAGACGCTAGGACAGGGCTTGGCACCAAGAAGGAGCCTCAAGATGCTGATTATTGAACACAGTTCGGCTGTTTGTGTCCCTTGGGGATTCGGGGCAGGGATCTGGGGACGGTTGTATCAGAGCTCCTGTCCAACCCTCCAGGGACTGACTGTGCAGGAAACGTAGGTGACCAGAGGTGCATGGGGGTGGCATTTGTGTAATATCGTTACACCGTGAAAAATTAGCCCCAGCGTTTAAACCCTGTCGGTGAGATGCTTGATTCAAGTCAAGGGCTTCGTGGAAGCGATGGGGCCTCGGGAACAGCAGAGTTGAGTGGAAACACAAGCAGCAGTCTCGGGACCTGTTTGTGGCGTGGCGCTGCCACACGTCCAGTGGGCTGGATAGTTAGGAATTCGTGTCATTTGTTTAGAATTTGGCACATGAGGAAGTGTATTTGCATATGTTCTGACGCAGGGCTCCTAGCAATGGGAGGTGGGGAGAAACGATAGTACCATCCCCATTTATTATTATTTTTAAGACAAGGAAACTTTTCCAAAATTGCTCAGCTAAAACTTGGCAGAATCCAGGCCTAATAGAGCCCTTCCGAGCCCACTGCTCCTCTGACCACGTTATCACAGAGATAGTGTTGCAAGACCGGCCGAAGCGCTTTGCAGTCCAGTAACAGGTGTTTTGACGCTCTCTGCAGGGTGAGCTCGCTCCTAGGACCAAGGCTGGGGTTTTGTTAGAGCAGTTGATACAGTGATTGACGGGACAGAGAAGCGCCTATGAATTGGGAAATGGTGACAAAGCTGTTTTCCTAGAACTGATGTTCTGAGGGGATCAAGCCAGCTGATTGCTGTTTACAACTTGCAGGCCTTCCTGCCCAGAGGAGACACAGGGGCTGGACCCCAGCCCTGCACGCAGGGAGCAGAGGACAGATGCAAGCGAGGTGTGTGATGCTCTGGCTCCCACTATGTGATGGGGAACATGTGAAGGCGGGGGGATTGAACTGTGGGTGACCCCGCCGAGCAAGGAGGCTAATTAGAGCCTCTTCCCCGCACTTCAGTCACAAGCCCCTCCTGCCCTTCCTCCTGATGGTGCGGCTGATAAAGAGGGATTGAATTTATGAAAAGCGATGAAGATGTTTGGATAAGCCTCGAGACCGAGGCAAGCCAGCCGGACGAGTTAGGGCCTGACGAGGCAGCAGAGTTGTCTGAAAGCCTCGGAAGGGGCTGGCCAAGCCGGGAGGCAGGGGAAAAATGAGCGCCCAGCACGACACCCCGCAGATGTGACCCTGGGACTGCACATCGTGCCGTCCAGGTGGAAACGGGCTGCTGACGGCTGGCGCCGTGGGGAGGTTCTCAGCTTGTCCCGTGCCCTTTGGCAGCCAGCAGCTCCTGCCACAAGTGTTTCTTGTTCCCAGGGAGAACCTGTGTGAACCAAATAAACCAGAGGACACAGAACACATGAGTAGGGAAAGGCTGGGAGCCTGGGAGAAAGCACCATCTTTGTAGAGATGAAGTTCAGACTGCCCGATGGGACGAGTAAAGAAGCTGAAAATGTTTATGGAGTATTTACCACGTGCCAGGCGCTGTGCAGAGAGCATCATGTGTATGTGTCGCAATCTCTTTATGTCAGCGGTTTAGTTGTTATCGTGCCTATTGCACTGATGGAGTAAGTGAAACTCAGAGAGGGTAGGTAACTTGCCCAAGGCCACACAGCTAATACATGATTAATTTGGGAATCAAAACCCAAAAGTGAATTTTTTAAAAAAAAATTTCAGGCAGTGAGACTCTGGAGACTTTATCCTAAATTAATTTGCTCCAAGCCAGTCCACTGGGCCACATGGTGGGGTGGCGGGGGGAGGTAGGTGTGTCTGCTGGGACGGGAGGGTGAGCACCATCTTTTATCTTGGGCTGCCTTGACTCATTCTTTGGCTGGGTGGCTCCCTCGGCACTGGGCCCCCTGGTCTTTCTCAAGTGGTTCCAGGGAGGAGATGCTCTCTGCCCACCCAGAACACCCCCTACCCTCAGTGCTGGCTATGGTAGCACCAACTTCTAAGGTCTTCGGAGTTAAATGCCCCAACAGCTGCCTAACCCCAGACACCCGTGAGTCTGTGGCCACCTGGTCACCCGGTCTGGCCCATGTGTGCCCCGCTGAGAGCTTCCTGAGAACCATGGCTGCCTGTGGCTGTGTTTCTCCTGGGTTCTGCCCACCCACGTGGAGTCTGCGACTCAAGGCAGAGGACGGAGGCTGAGTGACCGTCCTGGTGTGCGAAATGGGCTGTGTCCCTGAGGTCAAGGGAGAGGCCTCTAGATTAAGGGAGGCCTCCCATCCCAGCGTGATCGGGAAGAAGTAAGGGCAGAAGTAGGGTGGCTCCCCTCACTGGTCAGGGTTTCCGCAACTCGGTTCTGGATCCTGACTTTCTCCTGCCTCCCAGAGGCCAGCCTCAGAGAGATAAGATGGATAAGGTACACCTGCTGAGTTAGAGCCTCCCCTCCGGGAGGCCCCTCCCCAGCCCCCTCCAGACATGTTTATTTTTAATCATAATCGTAATCAACAAAGACTCAAACTGTTTAAACTGGCCAGTTCCACACCAGGCTCATCAGAGCGGATTCCAAATTCACATATACTGCGGTATTTTCACCACTAGAGTTTCTATGAACTTTCCCCTCCTTTGGGACACCCTTTTCAAAAAGAAGCAGAAACTGTGATCCCCATAAGTGAGACGGGGACCATTCAGGGTGGTCTGGTCTGATCCAGTTGGGGCTGAGAGGTTGTAAGAAAGAATAAAGCCAGGCTAGAAGAACTGTCGGTGCATTTTGATATAAAATACCCTCCATTCTGGTTAAATGCAAGGCACGCTGTATAAATCAGCCCGAGTCAATTACTTGGTTTGAATATTGGCCATGGTGCCTGCGACTCATTTTGCTGGTGTCAGTTTAACAGTTGGATACATGGGCCAGAGGTAATATTAATGATTACTTGTTAGTTAAGTAGACGTGGACCTTTTACACAAAGCGCCAGCGGCACAGACACCTTTTCGGTGGCCGAGTCCAGCAGGCGCTGCCCCGTGGGCGCTGGGCTAGGCAGGGCGGGGGCCTGGGTCTGGGAGAACTGGAGCTCCCAGGAAAGCTGCTTAGAAGGGTGCCCTGAACCCCCGCAGGTCTGGCTGGACCTTGTCTGGACCTCTTCCCTGGAGATCCCTGGAGAGGTGAGCTGCTGCCCCTTTGGGGCTGAGTCATTGTCTGAGCAAGAGCTTTCTCTCCAGAGCCAGGGGAGAGCTCAGAGGGCAGCTCCCTAGGACCCAGAAGAAGTGGAGGCAGTGGCACCTTCACCTCCCTCCTGGGGAAGAGGCCACCTCTGCAGCCTGGGATGGTTTTCCTTGTGCCAAGAAGGGAATGTCCAGCATTGATTTATGCTGACGTTTATAGAAAGCATACAGGTTTGCTCATTCATAAAACGGAGGGACAGTGTGTTTTGGGCCCTGGCAGGGCTCTGGGGCAGCTCTCAGGCTAGCGTGGCTGATTGTAACAATTTCCGGAAATGCCCTGGTTTGCCCTCAGGGAGAAGGCCGTGGTTGCGTGAGAACAGTCCACAGGTGGAGCCTGAGTGCAGGCCCCTTGCCCCGTGACTGGAGCCAGACTGAACTGGTGGTAAGGGTCCCCTCCGGTCCCGCTGCCCCTGCAGCCCTCCCGCTCGCTCACGCCTCCTCCCAGACACTCTTCTAACTTCCAAAGCTTCCTGGCTGGTAGGGAGGCTGCGGCTGGGACCGCATGACACAGGGACACAGGGACGGCCTTGTGAGAATGCTGGAGGAGGGGTGGCGGATATTTCCCGTTCCTGTCTGATCAGTGGGGCTGGGGGTTCTGGGGACCCGGATCGACTTTGGTTGGCAGCTCAGTGGGAGCTGAGTTCAGGCCTTGCCCACCCTCAGCAGCCGTGTCCTAGGTTGGGCTGGTGACCCTTCCACGCGGACTTGGCTGTGGGCCCGCCGGGCTGGTGGGCGGTAGGGAATCAGTTTTGCCAGAAGCCAGAGACCGAGAAACAGTGGTTTGATTTCAGTGTGGCTCTGCCCCCAGCTCTGGAGGCTTGGTGCTGTGAACTGGGTTTTGGTGGTGTCTGTGGAGTGGGTACACGTGGCCGGCAGGGGATCTGGGTCTATGCAGTGAAAAATAAACAGGTCTGAGCAAAATGCCAAGTCACATCTTTGATGGTTTTCTTCTTCCTCTTTTGAGCCAAAGGCTCAGAAACTTTGGAGGCTTGAGCTAGAGGAGCCCCCTGAATCTTGTCCTCTGAGAAAGAAAAGAAAAGGCGGGCACGAGAGACGAGAAAGGCCAAGGACTTGACCAATGTCTGTCTCAGCTGGCTCCGTCTGCCACAGCGAAGCACCACCAGCCACACGGCTTAAACAACAGTAACAGATTTTCTCACAGCTCTGGGGCCAGAGGTCCAAGATGAGGGCTTCTTCTGGGTCCCCTGTCCTCAGCTTGCAGACGGCCGCCTTCTTGCTGCATCCCCTGTGCATACACATCTGTGTCCTAATCCTTCTTAGGAGGATGCCAGTCATATTGGATCAGGGTCCACCCGTATGACCTCATTTTACCTGAATTACGTCTTCAGAAGTGCTATCTCCAAATACAGCCCTGGTTCCCCTGTGCCCAGGGCTTTCTCTGGGCTCAGCACCAGTGGACAGTCCATTGTTCTGATTTACCTACCACACAGCCCTGATCTATCAGTGCCCTCATTCCCATTTACAGAGTAAACAGGATCCTGGAAAACTCTGGTTGAAGGAAATTGGTCTCGGTGCTTGATTTTAAAGCCTTGCCTCTTGAGCAAAAGAAAAACCAAAGGACACAGGACAGAAAGAATGAAAGAAGAGGGGTTGTGTGGAGTGGGCGTTGGGAACAACACTGCAGACCCTCAGTGGGCCTCTGGGCACCCCCTCGTTTTATTGAGGGGGCATCTGAAGCTCCGGGTTAGTCACTGCTCCCTGGTCCTGTGATGAGGGGCCAGGTATCTCCAGTCTTCTCTTTGGGCCATCTTGCAGCCGGCACTGGTTGACCTATATTGCTGGAGCTGATAATTCCTGCATCTGTGGGTCTTGTCCTCCTGCAGACCCTGGACAGAGGCCTGTCTGTCTCATCTGGATGGGTCCCCTTATGCCACGATGTCTGGAGCCCTCAGACACCTGCTTTGGGTGTGGTTCCTGGACAGCTGCCTGGACCTCTTAGCATCTTAAAGTTGGGGCATGTCCACTCTCCACTTTTGGATGAGGGATTTCCCAAGGAAACCTCCCTCTTTGTGAATGGCACCGGCAGGGCAGCCTCCAGAGGCTCATTTTGGTGGGAGACCCTCAGTAGGGGACACTGTTGGTCATGTAAGTTAAGCTGGGGTGAGAAAAGAGTCCAGAAGTACTTGCTTGTACAGAGTGGCCAGGACCTCTTCAGTGCCAGGGTCCAACTGCATGATGGTTGTGTGACTATCAGCAAGTCTTCTGAAGTTTTGGAACCTCGGTGTTATCATCTGTAAAATGGGAGTGGAGAAACCTTACCCAGATGTTCTTTATTAGGAGATCAGTGTGGGAGGAAAGAGTAATAGCACAAAGAATCTGACAGCTCTGGCGCCAAGAAATGAGGTTGGCACCAAGGACTCTTGTATCCAGGCTGCTAAAAACTGCACAGAAATCCACAACAATTCTAGGAATGTGGCGTTGAGAGCCACAGTGGTGCAAGGAGGTAGTGTCTTCCTGTCTTTGCCCCGTGCCTCTAAATTCTTTACTCTCAACTCCAAGAAACAGAGGGGAAAGGCAAATTTGCATTTTCTATAGTCATTTCTCTGAGTTTCTTATGTGCCACGATGAGTTGTGTTAAGACGGGCTCATCTGTTCCTTGACAAAGCAGATTCATTTTTCTAGGCTGTTGGAAAAGGCAAGTGGGAGCTTCCTTCTGCTTCTCTGGAGTCTTCAGCTGCCTCAGGGTCTTACTGGAACATCCAGGTCAATCAGGTCATTTTTGTGCTAATCACCAAAATGATATAAATTGGAAAAAAAAAAGCATGGGGGATTATCACAAGGACACAAAAATCAGCTGGGAGGGGCTCCTCTTGGCCAAGTCTGGCACAGATTTGATCACATGTATGTATTAGTGCCTATATATACACATGTGCTTGCGTGCATGCACACACACACACACACACACACATATGGGCACTAACCCCATTCAGGAGGACACCACCCTCATGACCTGATCACTCTCCAAAGGCCCTGCCTCCTAACACCGTCACCTGGGGGGGTTAGGATTTCAACATATAAATTTGGGCAGGGGAGGGTGGTATGCATTCAGTTCATAAAAATTATAAACTATAAAAATTAAGAATTCATGAGTCCATGCTAATGATATTATAGATACATGGATTTTTACTTATAGATATAGCTAGATAACAGATTAATGGGGAAGAAAGAAGGGCTCTTGCTGATAGAATTCTGGCCAGCGGGTAAAGGTAGTGGAAGCCCCAGAATCAGAAAATCACCATTTGGAAACCGTCATGGTGAAGATTGGATCAGGTAAGGCTCATCCGCGGACGGTCAAGCTGGGAAGAAATTTTGATGAGGAGCAGGATATTTGCATCATCTTAAAATTTACCTTCTCAGACTGCTTATTATTTGAAAACCCCACAACCACAGCAGCTGTTAGTGGGGAATTGGGCAACGTCTTGACCGGGTGATCAGAATTCCCATCCCGCACGAGGGACGGATGACATCTTGTGCCTCCGGGAGGGACACCCTCAGAAGGACACCTCTGCAGGACACCAGTGAGGGAATGAACATTCATCTGTTCGTGGGGAATCATCTGACAAACCCCCGAGGAGGAACATGTATTAAAAGAAAAAGAAGTGTGGGGTGGGACTGTATCCTTTAAAAATGTCAATGTCGTAAAAGACCTTAGTCTAAGGCTATGGAATGTTCCGGATTAAAGGTGGTCAAAGAGACATGACACCTCAGTTCACCGGCTCTGTGCTGGAGGGACGCACTGGCAAAAGGAAATTACTAGATCAACTGATAGCCCTGAAACATGGGCAGAGAGTAAAATATTCATGCAAATTTATGAGGTTGGTAACTTAACTGTGGTGGCGTAAGAGAAAATTGCCATTTTAAGGAAATACATACAGACTTATTTAGGAGTAAAGGGGCATGATGTCTGTACCTTATCCAGAAATGATTCAGAAAAAGAAGTAAACATACACACACACATACGCACACACGTACACACACACACACACACACACGCACACAAACCCACACAC